GACTTGGTCATAGTAGCACCAGTACCAACTACCATGTACAGGTCCCTTCATGACCCTTGATAACAGGGAGATGGGATTTGCCATAAACCCGTATTCTTATGCATAAAAAAAACATTTGTGTTGGTTCAACCCCATATGTTTCCAGCCATCTCCTTAGCTAACAAAACCAATGGGGGCGAATTCAACCATAACTAGGATTTCCCGTAGACTTTCCCAACAAAATCAACACCAATCCATTGAGGGTACTAGTCAAGAAATGGCAAACAATCCCATTCATGAGTAGATTGAGTAGATATTCCCATTCATTTTTTGATGTTCATAATAAGAGAGCTTGAAAATTTGCACTGAACTTCCAAAAAAAATCACTCTACCAATCCCCCAAAAAGATCCAGTTTCTACGTTTCAGCAGTCGGCTAGTCACGAGGCAGCATCTTCGGCGGTTCAAGCGAAAAGAAGTTTCTGGGAGGTCATCGATCATGTGAACATCAACGGAATGATGACATGGGAAACAACCATTTGGGAAGCAACAACGATGGGGATTTCAACCACCAAGAATGGTGGTACCATGGCGAACCTAATGGGGATATCATGGGCAGTGAGGACATCATGGGATTAACAGCAGTATAGGATGGAAAAACCAAGGTGATGGATTAAAGATATTTGCGGATGCAAGTCCAGTTATAGTCAAATATGTTTCGCCATAGTTTGTGGGGGGGCATATTACAATTTGTGGGGGTTACAATCATGTGGATATGTCTATCAATAGCCCACACCGCAGCCCACACCGCATGGGAACCTATAGCCAGTGGGGTTCTTGACCGGCTCGTGGTTTCAACGGGAGATACCCTCTGGTAAACTAACATCGCTATTGAAAATGGCCATGTATATTTCCCATTAAAAATGTGATTTTCCATGGTTATGTTAGTTTACCAGAGGGTACCCCAACCATGATAGGGATATGGGATAGAATTTTGTTGGTTGATGTTGGCGGTTTCATGTGTTCAACCATAGAAATGGGATGATGATCCCCAATGACGAGCACTGATTTTTCAGGGAGCTTGAATTACCATTCAAAACAGGGAGTTGACCAATGAATCATGGGTATATGGGTTTGTCCGAAAGAAGGGGTAGCCTGCCAATATGTCCATTTGACAGGGATAATCATGATTTGCATGTATATACATATATATATATATACATGTATATTTATATATATATATGTGTGTATTTATATATATGTGTATAATATGCATACGTACATACTTTGATCAATCCATATAACCCTCAAACAACCAGGATGTCCGCAGTGAATTGTGAATCACGGCTGGAGCTGGGGAGACGATCGAGGAATCGGACAAAGAACATGGTTGCGAAATCCTGCACCAGTTGATAGCCGGATTATCCCATGATAGGATTTCAACCATCCGTTTGGTGCAGTAGCTATTGCAACCACCCACCGTTTTGTATTGCAAATTGCAAGTCCAGTTCCGGTGAGCTCGGGGATCCCCATGTTTGGGATATAACATGATATAACCCCGAAAAAAACAATGGTTGTATATCCCTGGAACTGCACTTCCAAGTGAAGGAGATGATTATCCTGACTATCCCTAATGGATTGATATTGTTCAGCCATCAAGAAGTTGAGCAGTGACCAAAAGCCCTGTTGATTGACTATTGTAGGGGGTTATACCTCGTCGTTCTGGATTTTGAACTGACCACATGTGGTGGGAACTGTTTGGTTTCAACCAAGCTGTAGATTTTCCGACATCTCGAATTATCACTGTTTGCTTTGATGAGCTTCCCGTCCTCCGGTCATTCACCGATGGTCATCCCATGTTTTCTCACTGAAAATTTGGCTGGTCTTTTCCAGCCACGATACGGGGTGACCGTTTCCTGGCCAAGTCTCTTCAGGTGACGCGAAACCTCTCTTTGCTGCGGGAAGTAGCGGTGGGGACCTCTGAGATTTGGCCATTTAAGGCCAGTTGGCCAACGGAAATTTTCAACGACCTAAACTGCTTCAATCAAAAGGTCGCGACTTAACCACTAAACATCACTAAACCATCTCCAAATGATAGGAATTCTGTGGAATTTGTATAGACTGGATACCATATTCATACCTTGCACGGCTTCCGATTGGGGGTTGCGGATGCTAGTACACATCCAGCTGAAAAGTTGAGGGTGTACCGGCCAGGTGTCAGCAGTCACAAAGGAAACGGTTGAAATTGAGATGTCCGTACGATATGAAGTCGTTCAAAATGTCTATTATGTGTTCGGCATTTAACCTGAAAAACTTGGTTTGAAATCGGGTGTGGACGTTGAATTTTCTCATGTCAAACCGGGATGTTTCACTGTAACATGGCCCTCAACTGCTGCTCGAGTCGTTCGTCCTTCATCCTTCAGTGGTAATATGTTGGCCTCTGCAGTTGATTTTGGGCTGCCCGTAGAAACCCGTAACTGGAAACTGTGGAGACCTTGTTGGAAGTCGTTTCCCAGTTTTGGGGCACCCGCATTTTTTGAAGATTCCAACCAATTCCAGCCCAAAGTTGGAGATTGTTAACAATTTCCAACCCAAAGTTGGAAATTGTTAGATAAAAATCCTCCAGAACGTCCTGTCTTTTGAGATCTTGTGGTTATGTGTCCCTTGAGAACGGTTCAAGACCACTTTTTTCCGATGGCGTCCAGAACATCATTTCACCAGGATCACCGAAAAATGAACCAGCGCAACCAGGGAAGTTTCAAAGTTACGGCCTGGCTTTGAAGTTTTCTGCCATGGTTACCATGGTTGTGGATGGCCCAAAACCTCCAAAACCTACTCTTTCTGGTAAGCCTTTGGGGATCATTTTCCAAAACTGCTGAAACGTTGAATCAATTCCTTTGAGGTTCCTCTGGAAGCGAAGCTGGCAGCATTTTCGCATCTTGGCATAACATAATTGCAAGGAGTTGGCTTCAAATACGACAACTTCAACGGGGGTTTCTGTCAAAATGATCCAAACATGGGGTGCACCATGGGGTTTAGTAGTGGTGACTACTCAATATATGAGTGGCTTTGTCGCAGAGAGTATGTACTGGGTCCTTCGATTTGTGCAAATTCTCGTCAAAATTAGGGTTGCTCCAACCTATGATGGGTAAATGGATGTTTTCTAAAATAGTGGTACTCCAAGTCACCATAGGTGTCAATACGAAACTGGTCTAATTTATCTAATTTTGGGAAACCACCAAATGATTGCTTCAAAGGGGTACCAAATGATTGCTTCAAAGGGGACCTGGGGTCTTGAGAGCCCTGAACATACCTGAAATTATCTGAACATGATGATTTTGAGGCATTCCCTAGTGATGGACAATGACTAGTTTCTGCATTTGTTGTGGTTCACAATGCCAGGAAGTGGTTATAGTTATAATTTGTATGAATTAGTTTTATAACCCAATATATACATATAAAATATACATAAATCCCCTTAGTTGTTCAGACCCATACTTGTGCTGGTTTAAAACCGAAGTTATGTTGATAATCCCCATGTTTTGTTGGATCCAATGAATTTATTTCCCCAGATTTGCGCTGCCTGGAAATCCTCTGACAATTCGTTAAGATTCTCATTATAAACTATAGATATTGATATATATCCCATAAAATCATATAAAATCCAATTGTGCTCCCAGTCTCTTCGTTCTCCCCATATGTTCGCTGCAAAGCCAGGGTGGAACGGCACCCAACATCTTCGCGACATCGCAGAGCTCAGGTTCTTGAAACCAAAGATCCAAGGGAAAAACTGGGCTTTGAAGGAGCAAACATCGTGATTTAATCAAGATGAAAAGAGATGATTTTAGATTATTTAAGATGATTTGAGGTGATTCAATGGAACATACGAGGATACACTGGTAGGACAAAAGTTGCGCTTGTTGAGCTTCCCACAGTGAACATGGTTGGTTTCTTCTTCTGCACACCCTTTCCCCGTAGAATCCTAGCATGGAGCTTTGTCGTACCCCGGTCGCATTCCCACCCTCCAAAAGCTTTAAAATCTTATATATTTAAAAGAGGGTGATAATTGACCGTCCCACACCTGCCACACAAAACGGACTTGAAAATGTGATCCGCGGTTGACCGAAATGGATGTTTTGTAAAGCTTTCAAGAAGCATAAACTTTGTTCCTCCTGAAGGGTACAAAAAGCTTATTGAGTGGGGATTGCCAAGTCATTTGCTGATTTTTGCACCTGCTTCAGCTTGGTCATTACTCCACATAACATGCCTGTCTCCATCCTCTTTGTCTGCACTGCTACACATGTGCCGTGACGCACTGGTAGGACAAAAGTTGCGCTTGTTGAGCTTCCCACAGTGAACATGGTTGGTTTCTTCTTCTGCACACCCTTTCCCCGTAGAATCCTAGCATGGAGCTTTGTCGTACCCCGGTCGCATTCCCACCCTCCAAAAGCTTTAAAATCTTATATATTTAAAAGAGGGTGATAATTGACCGTCCCACACCTGCCACACAAAACGGACTTGAAAATGTGATCCGCGGTTGACCGAAATGGATGTTTTGTAAAGCTTTCAAGAAGCATAAACTTTGTTCCTCCTGAAGTATCATGGGGATTTATAGGGATTTTCCAACAGAGAAATGGGTGCAATAAAATACTGTTATTTGTTTATAGCAGTGGGACAAAGGACAAAAACACTAGGGATTTAACCAAAACATGAAATCGCGGAATTTTCATAGATATTGGTTACTTAAGACCCATGGGGATCTGGTTGGTGGTGCCAGGAACCATAAAAAAAATATGACTTTCCATTCAGTTGGGAATGTCTTGTCATCCCAACTGACTCAAATTTTTCAGAGGGGTTGAAACCACCAACCAGTTTTTTTCGCTAGCTTGCTGAGATGGTGCCCTTCAAATTTTGGCAAGTTTATGTTGGATGCTGACCGCTGCCATGGCTTTCAACTGCTGCAACAAGAAGTAGTGTAGATGGTTGATGGTGCACAGCTTCCCTAACAAATGCTGCTGGTAGAATGCTTGGGCCCCTCGTGAAACGAGTGGTGAGCCCAGGCAGCCTATTTGGCTTCACTTCAGGTGCAACGTCAGGCGAGGGAAGTGATGCCTGGTGGATGTGTCAGCTTTTGATTTTGGCACGTAGCAACAATGGAGATATCAACCATGGGGGGGTATCAAAAACTGGAGGATGGAACTAATATATGGCCATTTGAACAGGGAGAGTGATGATAAATCATGATGTCTTTGCGGCTCTTGAAGTATCCCCCAATTAGAAAGGACAAACCCAAATCCAGCTGTAACTACTCGCCTCGACCAACTCGAATTTCGGGATCCCTCTTGGAAATTCACTACGGAGCAATCCAACGTCAATCGCCAGTTTCCACCGTTTCCACCAGCCAACCATTGGTTAATGCTTGGTGGTTTCAAATGGAACTGTCCCCGCGATGATCCCAATTGCCTCATACGTTTAGCATGGCAGCCCATGTCTCTGGAGATGGCAAACGGTAGATGTGAAGCTGGTGCCAACGATTTTTGGGTTTCAATGTGCTGAAAAATGTGTTTCTAGTTGTTCTCAACCCCAAGTTGAGACCCTTCAAGAGTAAGTTTTATGACCCTTAGACATAGCCACGTTACGAGTGAACAACACGTCTTGCAGTTGGAAACGGTTTCACCCCAATCGACGAGATGATCCCATGATTTACACCTTGCGCCTCGAGGTAGCTTCGGCGTGGGGATTCCCATTGAGTGAAGGGCTTGGGGTGAGACTCATCCACTGATCACGACGATTCAGCTCAATTTCAAGGGAAGTTGGCATCAAATTGGGGTTGAAAACAAATTTCCACAAGTGTAAGTTGCATAAATATTCATAAATTGATGGAACATCCACGTACAATCCACATTTCTGGGCCCAGCGGGTGCAGCTTCTCTGCTACTCGACTGATTATGACTGACTGACGTCCGGGAAGTTCAGATGGATTGATCTCATTGATTCAGCACGACACACACACACATTGTCACACTATATATAGACCTAGACGCAATTTTAGATCATGTTATAAGCATATTCTATTTTGTTATATAAGAGCAATCTATATAATAGAGAGAGAGAGAGACATGTATACAAGATATGCACATGCATAGTTTAGATGTACATTTTGTATTGTATTGTATTGTATTGTATTGTATTGTATTGTATTGTATTGTATTGTTATGTATGTATGTATGTATGTATGTATGTATGTATACATATGCGTATATAATACACATATAATTTATATAGGCATGTATAATCATATGATATGTATAAGTATCTTTTGGAAGCTGCTACCTGCCGAAGCGGTCCTTTTGGTCCCTGCTAGTCACCTACCTCGAAGCCATCAGCCTCCGGGCAAGAAAAATATCTACGGAGATTCTCTAAATGGGAAATCCCCAAGTCACCATAGGTTTCAATACTAAAATGATTTTATTTGGATGATTTGGATTGATCTGGGGGTACCTCCATTTTAGGAAACCTGCATACACATCTATGCACAGGTGTAACATACACATTCCAACATGTCACTGGTCGAGTTCGAATGAGTTCGACTGCTTACCCTCCACCACTGGCGATTTGATATCCCCAATTTATAGATTAACCTGGTAAACCCAATAAATGATCCCCAATAGTTCCATAAATTCATTGTAAATATCATCCCCAAATGGTAGCTTAGTAGTGTTTGTCACATTATTTGGGTTTGTTCAAACTTCCATTTAGTGGTTTTTTTCACTGCAATGTTAGATAAAATCCAGTAATAGATCCGGGCAAATTTCATCACGACCTCACGACGTTCTCCCGAACCCTGGAATCATGGTTTATTGGATCGGGGAATCATCCCCAGCCATGGCCGAACCCTCCAAGTTAGTGAAAACTGAACAATTTACTCAGATAGACTTAGATGTACCCTCTGGTGATTTAACAGCTATGGAAAATCTCATATTGATGGTATGATATATGATTAAAAATTACCATTTACTCAGATAGATAGATAGATAGACAGATAGATAGCTAGCTAGGTAGGTAGATAGATAGATAGACAGACAGATAGATAGATAGATAGGTAGATAGATAGATAGGTAGATAGATAGGTAGGTAGATAGATAGATAGACAGATAGATAGATAGATAGGTAGGTAGGTAGATAGATAGATAGGTAGATAGATAGATAGGTAGATAGATAGATAGGTAGGTAGGTAGATAGATAGGTAGAGAGATAGATAGATAGATAGACAGATAGATAGATAGATAGGTAGGTAGATAGATAGATAGATAGGTAGGTAGGTAGATAGATAAGTAGGTAGATAGATAGATAGATAGGTAGGTAGGTAGATAGGTAGGTAGATAGATAGGTAGATAGATAGATAGATAGATGTATTATTTTTTGATTACCTTCCAGTAAATTAACAATGATATTCCAAGTACGGTTTCAACTTTTTTCGTCCATGGTTCTGTTTGGGGATGGTCCCATGGCCAGAAAAGGGTAGCGACCTTTGGCTGTTGACAGGAGCCAGAAGTTGACCAACGTTTTGGGTTTGTGGTGTACCCTCTGGTAAACATACAAAAACTGTGAAAAATCACCATTTTCAATGGGTAAATCCACCATGTCTATGGTCATTTTCAATAGCTATGTTAAATTACCAGAGGATAAAGGTTTCAAACTGGAAGGAAGATGTTGTTTAGTTAGTTGCGTAGATTAGTGTAGATCGGTGTAGATTAGTGTTGTGTGAATCTGATAGTGAGGTTCCACAAGTTTCAACCACCATTTCACAGCTGGAACTTAGGCGGATGCGGGCTTTGGAAGACAAATCTCAGCTCCTTGGTTGCCCTGGAGAGAAGATGTGCACCTGATGCAAGATACGCGGTGTTTTCACATCGTTTTTTTCGGTGGTAAAGCCAATGCCATAACCCATGGGCATTGGGAAATCCCCTGTAAGCGGTGATTAGAACATGCAACTGGAAATTTCTGCAACTTGGAGGTGTGCATCCCTAACTGCGCCCTAAATCACCTTGAAACCATCTGGTATCTTGATCCTCGCACTCGTGATTTCTGTTGTTTTTGTTTTGACATCCTCAGAGTGATACGGAAAATAAGCCGCCCCCTACTTGTGTTTTTCGAAATTAGGTATACGGTATAGCCATAGTAATGAGTGATGTTGCCTATTAACCCCCCCAAATGGTGGGTTAATGGGATGGTTTACGGTACTGGTTTTACCACATGAAAGGTCTCGTTAGGAGATATGCAACATCAAAATAGTTTGGTTTTATGGATATTCATACCCACAAAAAAGAGAATTCCTCGGTAATTTAACATAGCTACTGTATTGAAAGTTGCCCATTTGCTATGATAGTTCCCCAGAGGGTAGGTTTCGATTCATCCCCATACACCGCATCGGTGAATATGTCTTGGATATTTATCCATGGGATTATACTTCCCAGAATGGTCCCCTTTAACTATGGAATCCGCCCCCCCACACACCCCAAGTATTGTATCGTCACGAGCATTCTGAATGTTTTTCTGGTATAGCACCCCCCAAAAAGATAGAAAAAACAAATCCTACTTTTTCACAGCTTTTTGAAGACACCATAGGGTATTAACCAATATTTCCTTAGTATTCCTTTATGTCCCATCAACATCACAAATCTCCCATTAAATCACCATGTTTCTCGCTCAAATCCCATAGAAATCACTTGAAATCACCATATTTTGATTGGGACAATCATATTAAATCACATTAAATCCCATATCCTATGAAAATTTCAACGGTTTTCAACGTTTTTCAACGTTTTTCAACGTTTTTCAACGTTTCATGCTATTCTTTCTGACCCACAAAGGGCGCCCCAGGCTTTGTCGGATCCCTTTGGCCTCGAACGTGAGCCGAAGAACAAGCGACGCGCCGTGCCTCCAGAGGCGGCAGAGGCAGCGGTGGCAGCGGTGGCAAACCGGAAGAGCTTGGCACTACCGTACTACCCTATGTTTAAAAACTGGTGATTTATTGCTTAATGGGACTTTATAGTGATTTAGTGGATTATGAATGGGATATACCCTATGGTAATTTAACATAGCTATTGAAAATGACCATAGAAATAATGGATTTACGCTGTTTCATAGGAATCCCAATAGCTGGTTCATCCCGTTTCACTGGCTACCAATGGTTACCATTCCATAGTTATCAGATGCCAACAGTTATGGCATCATTATTTACCAATGGTAGCATGGTTTATCCCATTAATGTCCCATTATTTACAGTGTTTCATAGTGACCTTCATAAGTACAAACGTAGCAAATATACAAACATGTATCCAATTATTTAATTACAGCGTTTTAGAGTTTAGTTACCTTCATAGAAACATTATAATAGGATTATGATCAGGATTAACTGTGAGAATTAATCCCATTTGCCATAGTAATCCCATAACTGGTTGTTGGTTTCAAACATGTTTTATTTTCCATGATATATGGGATAATCCTTCCCATTGACGAACTCATATTTTTCAAGATGGTGAAAACCACCAAGCAGATAACTATCATTACTTTTGGCTTACTATGGCAATTAGATTATACTTTATTTAGTTATCACAATAGTATCCCACATTATCCCATTGACCCACATAATCAAAATCATAAGTAATCATAATTAATTGCACAACTATTACCATTCTATATATTTGCCATAGCAATCCCAAAACTATCATTATTGATTAATGAAAATATAATTGATACTAATCCCATAGCAATTATCATAATTATGATTATTATGCAATATTAAAATAGAATGATATTTAATGCCATAGTAATCCCATTTATGATAATATAATTTGATTCACCGTTTCTTTTCGTTTTCGCCATCGGCGCCAGGACGTCGGCGACGTCGACGGCGGCGGCGCGCGACGCAAGGCGGATCCCGAAGTCTTGGCCAAGCGGAAGATGCTGCGAGGCCGAAGGAGCCGAGAACAACATGGACGGCATGGGATAATGTGGGTCAATGGCCATAGAAATAGTTAATTATATTGTTATGTGATCAATATGATTTATAGCTGTCTTAATAGGATTTATAGGAGCCATAGTTGATTTATAGCTATAGAAATAGTTGATTTATCCATGAAAAATTGTGATTTTCCATAGCTATATTAATTTACCAGATATATTAATGTGGATAATCCTACGGGATGGGATTTTCCACGGATTTTCGATGGGATTTAGAGATTCTCTGGGATTATCATCCAGAAATAATGTGGGTAAAACAATGCCAGAAACCACCCATGACTGGGAATGGTAAGTTTATACAACCTATAAAAATGGTGACTGGGGGATGGTTTATGACATTGTTTTACCCACAGTATTCCATTTTGGGGCAGAGTTTTGGAGGTAGCTCACATGGGAACAAGATGGAATAAGAACCAATAGATTTGGTAGGTTAGTCGAAGGAAGTTTAGAAGTCAAACTTCCGACAATATGGACAGATGAAAAGCAGAGATGGGAAGAATCAGAGAGAAGAGAAGAGTAGAAGAGAGAAGATCAGAGAAGAGAAAGAGTCAGAAGAAAGAAGATGAAGGTGCGCGAAATGGTAGGAAAGTCGCGAAACACTTGTGTTTTTCCAATGATTTGTGGCATATACCCTCTGGTAATTTAACCTGGTTATGGAAAATCATCATGTTTAATAAGTAAATCACCCTGAAATAGTCCATGTTCCATAGATATCTTAAATAACCGGAGGGAAACTAGTCATTTTAAGTGTGTGATTCAAGGTTTACATTGCTATCATGTGGTTACTGTAGTTGGTCATCATGGATAGCATGGTGAAGTGAATGGTTATATAATCAACGAATGGATGCGCATCATTGCTATGGCTGGGGATCAACCATTTTCACCGGTGATTGCTGAAGCAGCTAGGCTTAGCCTGCAAAATATTACCGGTGATCGCACAGTTTGTTTGGGCCGCACAGCCTGTTTGAAAGCACCAAAAAACATCCATTTTTCAACATTACTAGTACATTCGTTAACCAATTGCTGACCACTATTGAGCATTAGAACCATCTGCAATCTTGATTAATCCATGATTAAAACCAGTGATTCCATGGATATTGATTATTTGATGTATGTGTCAAACCGTGAGTAGTCAATACTCTTGATATTGCAATAGAATATGCTATAATACGATATCTACAGGTGATAAATACATACACATATTGCCAACCTATTTATGTATAATCGTGTATGTATATATATATATATGCACACACACACAACCAGAACCCCTCCGAACATCTTAAGACGTAATGGTCATGGTCGGGTGGGTGACCGTATGTACATACACATACAGTACATAGAATTTGATGGGAAATTCAAAACTCACTTCAAATATCTCAAAAGCGGAATATCCTTGACAATTCCCGGTCCTATCTACATCAGGATGATTATATGGACAGTCAAAATTGGGTACAGAAATAGATGTTTAATACATTGATAATACATTTCAATAGACAAAATCTGCGGTGCCCTGGGTCTTAAGTTTTAACTCATACCAGGAGCGCTGCCAGCACTACGAAACCCACTCCGTCCACTCCGACGCCGCCTGTCCCGGCTGTCCCGGCTGTCCCGGTGCGGAACCATGGTTTCCCCACGGGATGGGTGTGACCATGGCGGGAACATAATGGGATATACTGGTTCTAGATGGTTCTAGGGTTTTGACATGGTTTAACCATGGTTTTTCATGAAATTGAATGGAATTTACTGAAGTCATGGGATTGTCTAAAGCATCGAAATGGAGGAATCATCAAGCTAAGGAATTTTCCAGCAAGCCCATTACCGGATGGTAACCATGGTTATGCACCCACCAAAAAAGATGTAGAAAAGGTTAAGCTATGTTAGATTACTACATTCCGATGTTTGATGCTCATATCCCCTTGATGAATTGACTGGTTCCTCTGAAGATTCGTGGAACAAATGCCAAAATCAGCTGTGATGTTGAAAGGGCTGTGTGTGGGTTAATTTCCATGTTCAGAAACACCCAGATTCCCAACTAGAACCTTGACTTTGTGATAGTTCCTGTTTCAAGGGTGCAGGGTGAATCAACAGTTGTGGGTTCATAAAGTCCACCAAACTGTAGATACCCTCTGGTAAACAAACAGTTTGCTATTGAAAATGACCATAGAAATAGTGGATTTACCCATTAATAGCATGGTGATTTTCCATAGTTTTTTGTATGTTTATCAGAGGGTATATCATATCCACCATATATCCCCGTTAGCCTAGTTTCAAGCCGACCTTGTTAACGGATATGGTTGATATTGTCTAGATATACGGTTTCCCTAGAAAATTATCTACAAATTCTGGGGTGTCCTATATTGATTTATTGTAGGGGAATATTAATGTGTATGTTATGTCCATTATTTCTAATATGTGTTCTTTTTAATGGGATTCAATATGGAGATGATATATTGGAAAAACGTGATATGGTTGTGTCCAAGAACAGAGAAATTACTCCAAGTTTAGCACATTTGAGGTATTCAAATTTAAGCCAGGCCCATTTTTGGGGGTAAGAATGCTCCACTCCAAGCAACAAAATATGTTTCATAGGCGCCAAACTTGGGTGGAACCCATCGTTTTCATGGGTGGCGACGGATTTCTCGGCAAGTCCTGGGAGGATAAGCCGCCAGGATAGGCCCTGCCATGGGGTTGAGTTCTCAATTATCAAGGTCTCTCTCTGCCAAGGCGGAGTTCCCTCCAAAGCCACCAGGAGGCCTCTTTGAGCCACCAGGCCTTATTGGGTCACCGGTATTTCAAAGCATAACCAGACCGGTTTGGATGGTTGGGAAATAACAATCATTGGCTCATCTTAGACTTACCAGGATTAGTGAGACCCAAAAAAGATTTGTTTCCAGCACCTAAAGCAGAAATTTGTGCAAAGGGGAGGGGAACCCAGAAGGTAAGTGTGGGTTTCTCAAAAGGATCCACAAGGATCCTTGCATTGTGGACTTTGTTCGGGGAATCATAGCTGTAGCTGAAAAGTGTCAACATGCATTGTTTTTTCTGTGTCAATTGTTTGCGGCGAAACTAAACACGGGTGATTCCGTTGCTCGTTGGAATCCGACAGGAGAAGTCACTGAGAAGCTTAGCTGCATGGACAGGTCAATTCCAGGCACAAATGGATTGAAATGGTGCTTCAATAGCGGGCTTCGCAGGTGACAAATATGTTGGGACACCTCATCGAAGAGATCAACTGGTGGGTGTCACTAATGTCTATCCCGATTTGAAGAAATGACTCAGAAACAATTCATGAGTACTTTTTGCATGGAGGAAGCATGTTGGCCGGTAGTGGACCAAGTCCATTTTCTGAACCAGTAGCCTTCAGTTAGATCAGTTAGACCCAAGTTGCACGGCCCCGTGCAAGAGATACCCGGCCTGGTAAACGTTTACATTTTGCGACATTGAAGCCATGGCCATAGAAATAGTGGATTTACCCATTAATAGCATGGTGATGTTCCATAGTTACGCAAACGTTTACCAGAGGGTATGTATGAAGTCCATTTTTCAGGATTTTGACATCCAATGATATGGAGAAGTAACACAAGGCTAGATAGCTGGCAGAGGATGTTCATGCCCACAAAACTCGATGGTCCAAAGGTATACAGATGTTCCCAAGCTGAGCTTGGTCCATGGTGAATGTTGGTGATGCTTTTCATGAATTCATCCAGAAAATGTATAGTAGCCCAGGTCCAACCCCTTTGCCGGGCTGACGTCGAAGCCCGCCACTGTGCCGGCCGCTGTGCCGGCCGCTGCCCCGGCGGCACCGGCCGCACCAGCGGCACCGGCCGCAGCCGCGGCGGAAGCTGCGTCAACAACGGCGGTGGCAGGTGACGTTCAGGGTGGAGGTTACCGGCCGCCCCCTCGCCTTGGAAGGATCCCATCCACCAAGAACCAAGAATGCATCAAAAACTATTCCTATCTTTTGTAATTTAGATGTTGACAATTGTTTATATACCTTAGAATAGTTACTAAGAGCATCGAATATCTCCTGGCTGGAGTTAGTTGGGAGTCACCCTGACACAGATGGAGCAGGCTGCAGGTTTCATGAAGTCTTCAACAAAGGACAAACCATCAAGATATAGTGAAGTAACTAGCAAAATATGGTGATATATATATATGATTTGTGATGAGATGATATGATATGATATCTGCAGTTGCAGCCCATTCAAGTACCAAAGATCCAACAAGCCTAGACGGTCACCAAGAAACATGTGTGCCATGCCGTGAAAACATTGGACAGTCATCCACAGTGGGGAATGCTCATCAGCCCACATTCATATAGGGATTCCACTATGTTTGGATTGAAAGGCATGGGATGGATGACTCATTATGACCGAAACCCATGTAACTTGATCATGGCATTGATTGAGCACCAAGTATTTCGGACAGATTGATGCGACAGCAGGCCTTCTTTGTGGTTTTCTTGTCACTATGGATCACCCCGGAAGAAGGTTGTCAACCGTGGCAATGGGAAGCCCGAAAAAATGGAGGTGTTAATGGGAAAATCACGTATAAATGGGTGTTGTTTTATTGCCACATTTGATTACGGGAGGGTGTATACTATACATATTACTGTACAATATATATATATGTGTGTGTGTGATACACTATATATATATATATATCACTATATACATATATATATATATACAGATAGAGGGAGAGAGTCTATCAAACGCGGTTGGCATCTGCAAGAGGTGTGAAATGAAAATGCAACAACAAAACCCATGTAGGCCATCAACATATGTCAACAGGATGTAACAAAGGACGAGAAAAGTGACTGTTTCAAACCCCCTAGTCTTTGAAACCTTCAAAGGAAGACCTGCTTCAGGTGTGATTTTCCAAGTCGTGACTCACACCACATGCCACCCCCAGGTGAAGAGGCTCCTGAAGCTTCAGAGGCAGTGAAGGTGGAAACCAAAGAGGATTTCTGGCGCGTGCAGATTGAAGCCATCTACCGCCGGAGGAGCGGGGAACAACGTGACCGAAACGACTCGGACGGAGCTGGAATGCTGTGGCCAAAGCTGCCCATTGTGTTTAAAGGATGAAACTGCAGGTGCTTTACATAGGTTAATGATGGTTAATGTTAATCTATGTTAATTCTATATATATTGTCCAAATCACAGTTAATCTATATGGTTAATCTATATGGTTAATCTATGGTTAAAATTGGATCTGTCAATAGTGAACAGCCATGAAATCTCAGAATCACCGAGCCGGCGCCAGGAACCCCATGAAATTGACTCTTGGAAGCAGCTGGCGTGACGATCGACGATTGAACTTGATGGAGCAGGGTGGCTTGAAGGGAAGTCTTCCCGGAGACCCGGAAACATCAACAGATAGTCACAGATATAACTTTCGAAAAATGCTGATATGATGTGATGCGATGTCATGTGATGTGATGTTATATCTCCGGTTGCCCATTCAAGTACCAAAGAACCAACAGTCGCATGGCAGTTGCACCAAGAAACCATGGTCCATGGTCCCAGGATTTCGTTGCCATTTGGGCCCGGCCTGGTGAAGCCATGGCCCAGTCGAAATAGTGGATGACTACCCATGAAAATAGCATGGTGGATCTTTCCATATGTAAACGTTTACCAGAGGGTAAATCCCATTAAATCCCATTAAACCACCATAAAATCCCATAAAATCCCAGTATCACAGCTTCATATGGATTCTATATCGATCTTCTGGTATCCCATGAAGTTCCCGGTAGCGGCGAGAAAGGAACGATGTGAAGGGCCTCATGGAGAAGCACAAGGGCAAAGAGGTGATCCTCTTTAAGAAGGACAGCGCTTTTGACGGTTCTATGGTGTTTTTGCATAGGAAAATACTGTAGATTTGGAATGGGAGATATATTGTTCATGATCTTTATAGGGATATAGATAAAGACATATATGCTGTCTAATCTATCTATCTATTTAATCTAATCTAATCTAATCTAATCTAATCTATCTATCTATCTATCTATCTATCTAGCCATCCATCTATCTATCTATCTATCTATCTATCTGTCTATACATGTATATCAAGATATATATGATATATGGGGATGAAATGACGTGGGAGTGGATATAATCGGTGGTTATTCTGTCTCGCGCAATGAAGCGGGGATGTTTCATCAATATTTCATGGGGATTGAATGATGTTTCATGGAGATATAAAACCAACAGTAATTTTTAATGATTGAGGACTGAGATTTCACCATAACATCAGGACTGAGGATATTACTTAAGGGATATTTGATGGGATACTCTGGGAAGAAGTCCTGCACCAGTTGGTTTATACTTTATACCATTGCACTCCCATGATTTACAATGTTTCATAGTTACCAATAGTTACCTACTGGTGCCGGATTTCTTCCATCTACAGTACGTAATCAACTATTTCGAATTTGGTATGTATTTGTGGTTACGACTATCATTTGGATGTCTCTTAAGCCTTGCGGACCCCATGCTCTCATCCGCGTGACTATTGGTCATTTTTGAAACCATGGGAAATCAATCGTGATGAGGGGACCCCAATTTTGAGAAACACCAAAAAGTGGCTTTCTCTGAAAAAATAGAGAGAACCCCAAACAAATCATGCTGATCATCAGAATGTTCCCCATGCTTTGGTGGTGACACTTTGGTGTCAGCTCCGTGGCTGGAAAATACCCCATGTATCTATGATTTTCCCAACTATAAGCCTCCATTTAGAGGCAGTTCCCATTGGCATGTTTGCTTGCTGAAGGGTATTGGGAGTAATGTGGGTAAAACAATGCCATAAACTTACCACTGACTGGGAATGGTAAGTTTATACCACCTATAATTTTATGGTGATTTTTCTGGGGGATGGTGCGTTTATGACATTGTTTTACCCAAAGTTTTGCATCAAAAAGCCATCTCTTTGGAGGTTTGCAAGCGATACGATTTGGATCCATCGAAGATCTACACGAACGATGATGCTTGGGAAGGCCCCGAAACGGCAGACTATTCAGCAGGATCTCAGGAGGTTTCTGATTCCCTGATGAGTTTCTGAAAATTGGAGACCCCAAGTTATCCAAGTTAGTCGGGACAAACCATGAAAAAATAAACCGGTTTTGAGTCGGAAAAAAACAAAACACTGAATCGATCTTGTGTTGTTTTGGAGAAAAATAGAGGGGCCGATTACTAGATGTTCTTTTAGATTATCATTACAATCTATACAGGATGGGGCCCCCAGTTATAAGTTGGTTTATAAACCATAACAAAACCCCCATGAACTAGTTCGTTATATCTACCATAAACGATAGTTCATTCAGCCACCCACTTCTAAGGCAACTGAACGCTATCGACTGGGGGCCCCATCCTGTATGTTCATTATTTGTATCGTATTCCCATTCAGATCATGGCTATATATCATATTGGTCATAGTTATGTCATCGTATTCCCATTATAGTCCCATCATAGTCCCATTATAGTCCCAGTATAGTACCATTGTTACTAAAATATTAGAGCCATAATTATAACCCAGGGGATGATAATTAGTCCCATTGTCCCATTGTTTGTAGTCCAAGCAGTTGGATTCGGACGTCGACAGGTGAAGACAAGGAGTTCAAAGACGATCCCGACGACGCTGAGTCGACGAAAACAGGCCAGCCGGCGACGCCGGAGTTGTTGGACATGTGGGGCTGAATTAATAGAGGTTTATACTAGATACCCTCTGGTTATTTAACATAGCCATGGAAAATGGCCCATAGAAATAGATGGTTTACCTATTAAACATGGTGATTTTCCATGGCTATGTTAAATAGCCAGATGGTAGATGGTGTATTTTCCATAGCTATGTCAAATTACCAGAGGGTAGTTTATTCAAACATCTGATTTTCCCAGTTGGAGAACTTGTTTTGGCGCCAACGACTCAGAGCAAACATATAGTACGTTCTACACTTCTGGCGCTCGTACGGCCAAAGATGTGGTCCTTTTCACTAGCATAATTTCTTACCTTTTGGCAATCAAACATGACTAGCTAAGTAGGTTTATAAGTGGCTGAATTCTATGGTTTATGGTAGATATAACGAACTAGTTCATGGGGGTCTTGTTATGGTTTATCAACCAATGTTCACATCACTGGGGGGCCCCATCCGATGGTATTCCCATTTCAATGCCCATGGACCCAATGGAGTGCGGGATTTCTCAGCCAGGATTTCACAGTCTGCATCAGTCTGTTGAAAAAAAAACAAACATGACCAAAAATCGTATAGAAATTGGAACTGAGATTGGAACATTTATATACGTTTATTTGACATATCTAAATTGTTCAACTGATATCAACTGATGATTTTCCCGTTGAAATCCCCAAAAACCGTGGATTTTCCATCCAATTTTGGGTAGGTTCGGCTGCTCCGATGGCCTCCATCTTTGGAGCATCGAGCAGCTCTACGCCCTCGGCGTCGCCGAGCATCTTTGGAACTCCCGGTGCTAGTTACTTGGTCGATGAAAAGCTGCAGAACTCACCAAAACTGGAAATATCTGGTCTAAATCTGTCTAAAACCATGCTCTTTGCTTCATATAACCAGCAAGAAAAGGTTATATATGGTGATATATCATATCCATGACTATAAACAATCAAAAACGGAGGTATCATCTAATGATACTGTCGAACTGGTCGGTTGAAGGCATCGTTTGGGAAATCACCAACAGATGGACGAAGTCGTGACGAAGTTCTATCAGTCGACTTCCAGAACCATTTTTGGCTGCGACTTTCAGCTTTGTGAAGGAAGAACGTGGCTATGATATATATATATACATGTACATATATCTGGGTAATTATAACGACCTCACTGCGACCTCACTGGAATCATGGTTAGTAAGGGGAATCATCCCCAAATGGCCTTATTTCAGGTTAGTGAATTATTTTAATTTACCCAGATATACCCAGATATATCCCAAAAAGTCCTAAGGCCGTACTTTTTGAGTCAATGCCGAGGTTCTACGGCCGAGGGTTATAGCAATGTTGTTGGATTCCACGGCCGAGGGTTTATAGCAATGTCATGGATTCCACGGCCGAGGGTTTATAGCAAAGTTCACTCGCGATTCACTCACGATTCACATATATGTTATAATTGAAAGAAATATGCCATACTCCGAATGTGTTCATATGCGGGTACCAGTCCAAGTCAGGGTGGAAACCATGGAAACCGGTGACACTGGGCTGACTTTGGCAGCGAATGGGAGCCTGCGAAACGACTGGCTGAACAAACCAACATGATTCAATATGGTTCAAGCCTACTAATGTTACGGGCAAACACCTCGATTTGCCCGCGCTTGTCGGCGGCCATCTTCGTATGTGCTGAAAACGTGATAAAAATGAGAGTTTTTTGCATCATGGTTAACTTCATGTTGTATATCGGCACGCACAGCATAGGGACCTGTGCGAGTCTCTTACACATCATCATCATCATCATCATCATCATCATCATCATCATCATACCCTTATTGAAGATCTTCAATGAATGTAGAAGTTTAGCGGGGGTGGGAGAATTAAACCCTTATTGAAGATCTTCAATGAATGTAGAAGTTTAACGGGGGTGGGAGAATTAAACCCTTATTGAAGATCTTCAATGAATGTAGAAGATCTTCAATGAATGTAGAAGTTTAACGGGGGTGGGAGAATTAAACCCTTATTGAAGATCTTCAATGAATGTAGAAGTTTAACGGCGGTGGGAGAATTAAAAGCCTTATTGAAGATCTTCAATGAATGTAGAAGTTTAACGGGGGTGGGAGAATTAAACCCTTATAGAAGTTTAACTGGGGTGGGAGAATTAAACCCTTATTGAAGATCTTCAATGAATGTAGAAGTTTAACGGGGGTGGGAGAATTAAACCCTTATTGAAGATCTTCAATGAATGTAAAGTGGGGGTGGGAGAATTAAACCCTTATTGAAGATCTTCAATGAATGTAAAGTTTAACGGGGGTGGGAAATTCATATTCCCTAAATACCCTTGTTGATCTTCCCAATTGAATGTAAAGTCTAACGTTTGATATCCCCAAGTGTACAGCATAGAAGGGGTGTGGGCGAATCGGGGTGTTTGCGCGTAATGTTACGCACAGACCCTGTGGTTTGCCCGGATTGCAACATTGACATGAGAAGAGAAATGCAGAAAATACTGCGTATACGCAGTGTTTTCTGCTTTCGGATTCTGAGTTTTCAGGGTTTTAGGGTTTAGGGTTTTAGGGTTTAGAGCCCGTCGTTTGGTAAATAACAAAACACTGGCCCCGCGCAGTTTTTTGAGCATGGCAGCATGTCTATTTGGATATTATTTGAAGTCCATTCTAACCTTGGAAACCATAGGGTGCCGTAATGTTAGCTTATGGAGTCTTATGGTAGCCTCTGGTCAAACTTGGCCGGAAAAATCCCAGGATTTCCCCACGTTTTTTCTAGCGAAGCTAGCAATGTCTGACACCAGATGCATCCAGATGCTACAATCCCATCCGTTGACATGTTTTACATTTTGATTGGTCCCAGTCCCGTGGGGTTTCCGCAAAGAATCCATGGTGACTGGAGGACCTGGAGGCCTGGAGGCTGTTTGGTTTAGATCCGTCGAGATCCGTCGAGTGTGTCGAATCGGGTCCAGGTTCTGGCTCTTTGTTTGGCGCCTCCAGCGTCAGCAGCTCAAGCCTTCACGGCCCTCACGGGCCAACTGGAGCAACGGGGAGAGACTTTATCAAAATCACCCCGTAAGGAATACTTAAAATGAAGAAAGTAATGAAGAACAAAGAGTTGAAGATTTTGAAGCATCTATGAAGCATCTTAACTAACTTAACTCCTAAGGTCACTGTCCCAATTGCCTTGCGTTTGCAATTTGACGAATCTAAAGTTTGGGGTTGAACACATGGACCCAGACAACGGATCCTTACCTATGTAATGGGTGGAGCCATTTGGAGCGATTGAGTTTACCAAACAACATGATAGATTGAAGTTTTATGAAGTTTTCAGATGCAATTTGAAACCAATCAAATGGAAACTTGCCGAATCGCAGGTGGAAATCTTGTCAAGAATTGTTCCGGGATTGGTGTTCAATGATGCTGTACTCCAATGATTCAAAACTGACAAAAACATAGGTTCAGTTTTACACGCGTCGGGATGGTTGAGCGTTCCTTATTTTGTTGGTTGACCTGTTTATATGTTGTAATATATCCACATATATCCACCATATCGATTGGTTAATCATCCTCTTCCCTATTCAACTGCCACAACTTGGGCGAAATTCACCATCGACCATCTCGAATACGTGTGTTTCGTGGTCGATTCTACAATTACATGTCTAAATATTTCCCCACATCCCCATGGTGTCCCATCTGTCTGCCTTGCAGTTTCAATGTGTTTGGTGTTTTCCATGTCCCTCCGGTTATCATGGCCGGTTAAGGTGGAGGATTTTTCCAGTGAGAAGCCTGCATGGATTTCCCAGCCAGCCATAGAGCTGACACCGAAGAGTAGTATCCCAATTCTTATCACATGATATCCCCATGCATATTCCATCAATATCACTATCCCATCATGGTTATATTCCCATGATATTCTCATGATTATCCCCATTACCAAAAATCGGATGTGAATGGACTATTTTCAAACATATCCTGGATTACCTCCCATTTGACATCATATTCTCATACTAATTTCCCATTACACCAACAAAAATACTATAATGGTGAGGCCCCAAACGATAGCGAAGTTGACACACCTAACTTCATTAGCTATATGGTTATTATTTGCTTCTTATTTGGTTATTATGGTTTATGTGATGTTTTTTTCCCATGGTATAACCATTGTTTTTCCCAATGCTATTCACAGGGTTTGCACCAACCAACATCGGGTGGCCCGAGGGCTCCGCCTCGGAGATCTTCAAGGGAGGCACGGGACGTCCCTGGTTAATCCCATCATCGAAGTTGAAAAGACTGGTTGTTGGTTTGAAATATTTTGGAAGATGTGTTATGACTTTCCATATTAATTGGGAATAGAATAATCATCCCAACTGACGAAATCCATCATTTTTCAGAGGGGTAGGCTCAACCACCAACCAGTTATGAATGAACTGACGATGAAAAATAGCTTGTTTTATCTTGATTGAATGAAATTGAATGGATAAAAAAGGATGACAGTATGATGACAGTCATATAACATATGATGATTCTTCTTGATACCTCAGCTATACTACCCTTGTGGGTGATCAGATTCCATGCATGATCAGCCATGGGTCATTGGGTACCCCATGCTTGAACCATCTTGAGCCATGACGAATCATGACGTATATCGTATTCATATTCGAACATATTTGGATATACAGTGGATGGAAGAAATCCTGCACCAGTTGATAGATGGTTTATCCCATTATTTATAGGGTTTCAACCATCCAAGGTGGTGCAGGATTTCTTCCATCCACAGTATGTGGTACAAGTTCAGCCCAAGTTTGTTCAGACACTAAAGACAGTTTCTTTATAATTTGGTACAAGGTGAGGCCCCACAGTGATGTTTGGTTATAAACCCATCAACATACATTAACTATATATCTGGTTGGTGGTTTGGAACATGTTTTATTTTTCCATTCAGTTGGGAATAATAATCCCAACTGACGAACTCCATCATTTTTCAGAGGGGTAGGCTCAACCACCAACCAGATATACTTATATCTCATAAGCCCAAACGTTAATCAAGTTATGTGTGTCAACTTCTCGCGATTTCGTGTACGGGGGTCTCCCAGAACAACTTTGATCCCTGGGAGGCAACATTTTTGCTGCTGGTGGTGGAGGGGCCAGCTTGTTCGGTGCCAGCTCAGGCGAATTTGATCACGACCTCACATCGGAGTGGTTAGGCGTAACATGGCGTAACTATGCCCAAAATGTCCCGAAATTTCACCATGAAATCTGGGTGTTCACCATGAAAGGTGGGATATATCTGATATGAACTGATGCTTGGGGGCTAAAAGACAACCCCCCAAAAAAAAAAAAAAAATCATGTCACCAAGTGCTGGAGTATCCCCCCAGCGGACCCATCCATTCTCCGTGTCGTCAAAACATGCCTTGATTTGCGATGGTCATCATCCTATTTTCTTGAGGATTTCATATTGCTACATATACCCTCCGGTTATTTAACATAGCCATGGAAAATCACCATTTTTCATGGGTAAACAATCTATAAATGGGTCATTTCCAATGGCTATTTTAAATAACCAGAGGGTATACCATCATATAGCCATTGTGTTTGGATTCCCACTATCGGATGACCATAGCCCATTGTTTTACCGTCTTTTGATCATGGCTCTTGAATGAAATAAATGAGAATGTGTGGATTTATGGGTGGACACACCAGTAGTCACCAGTAAAGTTTGTCATTGTTAGGGGAAACTGCACTAGAAGTGCTAATCAGTTTCGGTTTTCGGACTTGAATATGTGGCTTGATTTCCATATTATAGGTGACAATGTTCAAGCCACCACAATAAATTATCTACTGAACCCCGTGGCTTCTGTTATTGGCAGCAAATATTTTAATGTATTGGGCGTCCCGAAGAGACGAGAATTCAAGGCAAACATCTACATCTACTAGGGGGGTTCCTAAAATGAGGGTACCCCCCCAATCATCCAAGTCATGGATGACCATTTTAGTATTAAAACCTAAATTTATGACACCGGCTTGAACAGAGAAAGTTGATTTTAGCAAAAAAAATCATTTAAAAACAAAAAACGAAAACATAATCAAAAACATATTCACCAAACAAGATGCAGCCCACGAACCCGAACGCAGTCACGTAGGACACGTTTTTTTTAACAAGTTATTTGAACAGTCTTGTACATATGCCCCCTGTTACCGTACCAGTGCACTGTAGACTGTGGAATATGGAATGGGGTGGAGTGCAAAGTGTGGAGTGTGAAGAAAGTGAAGTGTTGAGTGGTGAATGTGGTGTGCAGAGCGTGAAGTGGGATTGTGGAGTGTGGAGTGTAAATTGTAAAGTGAGGGGTGTGAAGTGTAAAGTGTCGAGTGTAAAGTGTAAATTGTGGACTGTAAAGTATCAAGTGTGGACTGTGGAGTGTAAAGTGTAAAGTGTCAAGTGCGGACTGTGGAGTGTAAAGTGTAGAGTGTAAAGTGTCAAGTGTCAAGTGTGGAGTGTAAAGTGTAAAGTGTCAAGTGCGGACTGTGGAGTGTAAAGTGTAGAGTGTAAAGTGTCAAGTGTCAAGTGTGGAGTGTAAAGTGTAAAGTGTAGAGGGTAGAGTGTGGAGTGTGGAGTGTAAGTGTAAAGTGCAGAGTGTAAAATGTAAAGCGTATAGTGTGGAGTGTCAAGTGTAAAGTGTAAAGTGTGGAGTGGAAAGTGTAAAGCGTGGAGTGTAAAGTGTAAAGTGTAGACTGTGGAGTGTCAAGTGTAGATCGTGAAGTGTAAAGCGCAGAGTTTGGAGTCTAAAGTGTAAAGTGTAGAGTGTAAAGTGTAGAGTTTCCCAAATGCGACGCTTGCCACGCAAAATGACACTCTCACGATGTCCCACGCCTGCCACGCGATTTGCATGTTGTCACTGGCAAAAACGCGCAACACGACACGTCTAAAAGTGCTGCTGCCTGCCACGCAAAATGAGGATGGAGGTCTCCAAAGAGCCGCGCCTGCCATGAAAAATGCAAATCATCTTCTGAAAACGACGCAAAAGTATTGCCCCTGTCACACAAACCGATTTTCGAGACTTTATGAAAACATGTTGGAATGTCACAAAGTGCCACGCCTGCCACGCAAAACGACATTTTAACCTGCTGGGAACCTTCGAGAAGGATAGGCTTTGCAGCTTCCCCCATAGACACGGCAACGCCACAAGAAAACCAGAGCATCGAGATGAGACACGTGGGAGCATCAAAACCATCCATGTGTACATTTCCATTATGAAATGGCTTGACCCATGTTCCATTCCAGGGGCATTTTTCTAACAAAAGGATGCATTTTGTAAGGACATTTTTCTGGTCAACCATGCCATTTTGTAAAAAGCGTGTTTTTTTGCTGGGCAAATCATTTTGTAAGAGCCAACTTTCTTTACAAAATGAACTCGGGGCCAATCATTTCATAACGCAATTTGGGGTTCATTTCAGGCAGTGCAAAAAAGGGTATTGAAATCTTGGCCATGTCCAGGAACCAGGGTTTCTTCTCTAATTTTGTTTGGGTTCCACCATTGATGTGTGAAGAACCGGCAAGACACCACTAAGTCAACCAACCAGAAAAGGTGATATCAAACTGTCTGGGATTTTTTCCAAACTTTGGGGACTGGGAAAAAAATTTGCGGGGTTCCCTGGGGAAAGTTGGACTTGTACAAGCAGGACATGTTTCCAAACAAACCATTTTTTAAGACACAAGCTTATAAGATGATTGGGTTTGGGGCATGGAAATTAACTTGGGGCAACCATTTTGTAAGGAGCCGATTTTTGATTTTTTTTTGGGTTCACCGGTGTTTGCTGGGGAATCACACCAAGCCTGGTGCCCAGCCCATTTTGTAAACCCCTAACCATGGATGTTTGTAAGGTTAACTCCTGGGTCCCTTACAAAATGGTTGCCTTGGGTCAGGGGGGTAAATGTGCAGGGGGATTCAAAACCAACATTTCGCGCGAGACATCCTCTAATTTTCACACTTTGTAGCTTCAAAATCGATGTTTTCCTACGATTTTTTTGATGAGGCTCCAAATTTGCTACCTACCTCAAAATCGATGTTTCGTGCGAGGCTTCCGTCACGAAAAACGCAACTAATCTTCTGAAAACGACGCAAACCCTGTCACACAAACCGATTTTCGACACTTTATGAAACACGTAGTTGGAATGCCACCTTGCCACCACTTGACGCAGCCCTGACAGTGCGATTCGCAGAAAACACAACACGACACGTCTGAAGCGCTGCGCCTGCCACGCAAAACGAAGATGGAGGTCACCAAAGTGCTGCGCCTGCCACGAGAAACGCAACTCATCTTCTGAAAACGACGCAAAAGTATTGCCCCTGTCACACAAACCGATTTTTGACACTGTATGAAAACACGTTGGAATGCCACAAAGTGCCACGCCTGCCACGCGAAACGAGGCTACGCGACATTTGCAACCTCCAAAAATGACCACTTTTGCAGAACTCGCCAGAGGCAAGGCCATAGCGACCTCACGCGAATGGTTGCGAACGGCTGCGAACGGTTGCGCAACTTCAAGCGAACACACACTCAGCCCCCAAACCCCCAGAGTGAAACGGGAACCCGCATTCGGGAAAAAAACTGACTGGAAGAATCACCCGAACAAACCAAAAACTGACTGGTGTCCCCAAGTTTTTGATTTTTGTTCTTCGTTTTTTCTTTGTTGTTTTTTGTGTTTGTTTTTTTCTGTTTGCCCTGGTTTTGTTTTTGTTGCTTTTCTTGTGTGAAACCTTACGTTCTCTGTGTTGTTGGACTCATAAACGTATAAATCATGAATTTCGTTGGATTTTTCTCTTGTACCAAGCCGTTGAACCATGGTGAAAGCGCAAGGCTCTTCAACCGGCGAAAGCACTTCGTTGTTTGGAATGCCAAGTGGCTCTTCAGGCACTTCAGAGCAGCCATCACAGTCTCAGGAAGAAACCAGATGTAAACAAACCCAACAAACCAATATTATAGAATTTAAATTGATCAAAGTAATGTCATTACAATTCATTGCCAAATTTGTGGATTTTTTTTGGTACCAGCATTGAACCATATCCTGTTTTTGCGGATGTGATGGTTACGGAACCGACTGCGTTTCACCAGTTTCTGGGTTTGCGGTGTTTCTTTGTTGCAAAGGGTTTGTTTCTGTCCGCATCAATAGAAAGTGATTGAACATCAACTGTGGTTTCCTCAATAATCTTAGTAAAACAATACTAGGCCATCCCCAAATTTACCATAAATGGGTGGTATGAGGATGTATAAGGCATCAAGACATGGGTGGTTCATTATTGTTATTGCTGGCATTATACTAAAAACGACCCTGTTTTTCCCTTGTTCTTTGTTATAAGTACGGTAAATCACCATGGTGATTCATTGACAATCTGGCACCGACTGACGATGGGTCGGTGGATGTCAGTGGTTATATAATAACCATATAGGTTTCATACCCAGTGAGATGGAACATTCCCAGTTATGGGGTATACCCTTTGGTAATCGAACATGGTTATGGAAAACATTGGAAAACCAGTATGGATGAATTGGTGATTTCCTTAGCCATGTTACCCTTTGGTAAAAACCACAATGTTTAATAGGTAAGTCATCGAACTAAATGGGCCATTTTTGATGGCAAACTGTTATACAGTTTACTGGAGGGTAGATTTGAACCAGTTATAGCTGATTTTCCGATGAAAACCTCCATTTAGAGAGGATTTCCCATAGCCATGTTAGATCACCAGAGTGTGAACCACTTGTTTTTCATCCAGGTCACTAGTACAGTACGTTCCAGGCAGCATCTTTGGCGCAACAAGCGCCACAAGTG